TTTGTATGTGCTAGTGCTGACACATAGTGCATTTTGCCACAGAAGCCATATTCATGTTTGGACTACAATGTGCATGACAGGGCTGTGCAGCCATCTCTCTATCAAATGGCAATTTTAATGCGCTATCCTGGCATCAAACCAGGCTCGGTCGAACACAAGCACCTGTGGACTTTAACCAAGGTTCTCCCAAAGTAGCATTCGTAGTAAATGAATCCCAGCCAGTGGAATTGGCCTTCCCATTGAGTCTGTGGCACACTCACCCAGGGGTAGGGGTCGACCTTTTTTGTTGTTCAGCCTGAGGTAGGATTTGAACCTGGGTCTACCAATCATGATTTTGCTGTAACAACCACAATGCTACCAGTGACCGGTTAGTTAACAAATTTTTATCACACAACAACATGCAAACATATTTGGGATAACATACTTGCACTTGTAGTTTCTGCAAATTTCAAGTAATTTCCTGCTCATATTTTTAATCATTTTGTAAAATTCTATGAAATTGTGAGGAAAACAGTTATAATTATGATGACCATAAAAATGTTATTTTATTACAAAACTAATTATTGAATGTAGCCTTTTATTTTAATTCGTGACACTCCAAATGACAGTTTAAAATGTTTCTACATTTGTATTTAGTTCACTTTCTAACTTGTTCTGCATAACATGGCACAATATCATTATCATGAGAACTATAAAATAAACATGTTGCATACATTGATATATGTTAAAATTTTATTAAATTATGTTCGCCATTGTGTGTCATGTGCTTGTCTATTGATCACAGCCGCAGGTCACAACACATCGTAAATAATTCAGTTTGTATTTTTATCATAGCTTCAATTTCAATAATCATGTCTAACTAATCATGACAATGCAAATAAAAACATGGCTGACTGGAGGCCATTTTAAGTTGTGAAAAAGCACCAGAATCGACTGTTTCTATTCATTTCTCGACCAAATCTCTGGCATGCAGGAATGGATTTTGTACATAGTACATACATAAAAACTTTCCTGTCTATGCCAAAATAGGGACATATTTGTACATTGTACATTATTGTGAAATATATGTCCTTGGGCACACATTCATTTCATGACAGTATGTGCATATCATTTTTTCTGTATATTTGGTTACCTTATTATGATATCATTAATAATCATCAATACATGTGTCTTCTATCTGATATTAAAAACATATTGTGTTATTGTTCATTTCAGTACTACCAGCCGTGCAAGACCGCTTAGGGGATAGCAAAGATGCCGTTCGTGACCAAGCACAGGCACTTATACAGAAATTGATGCATCCAGTGTCAACACCACAGGTAAAAACACAAATGTATTTTTTACACATGTATGGAAAAAAAAAATCATTACTGTGTTTTTAATTCCAGTGTCGAGACTCAAATAATGGTTGGTTAAATGACACACTTAGTTACTTACTTAGGGGTGATCTCATATTCAAACACCTGGGTCAAACTTGGGTTAACCCGGCCTGCCCTATTCAGACCTACTAGACCTACAATATGCAAATTAGTAGTAGGTTTGAACCTAACCTCCGGATTACAAGTCAATAGAATGGTTATTGTTATTCAATTTATCTGGAATTAATTACAGACGTGATGGTTTGTTATATTTTGTCATTAAATGTGAATCAAGTGATACCATAAAGCCTCTCTATTGTGATATATATGGTAAATTAATGTTTGAAACAGAACAGGGAAAAAAATTTTAATGAGCAGCTTCTTAGGATAAATCACTTAAATATGTTATATATATATTTGGCATAGTCAGTAAAATATGTTTATCCATGGAGCGAACTGGTACATTTTGTCCGCAACAAGTACGGTCAGTTTTGTGTCCATGTCAGTTCATAAATTCATAGAACACATTTTTTGGTTAAGATTGTGAAGTCTGTGAGACTGCGAGTTATCAAAATATGATGAAAGTGATACAAAGGCATCTGAAAACCACAGTTCCTCTATCACTGTGTCAAAACTAAAGTCGGGGCTAATGCTACAACTCCGGCGCTACGACCACCGTAACATTGTCAGCTGACGGCATTGCGGGGAAATTACGGGTATTTACCGCTGCCGATATCTTACTTTTCTGTGACAAAATAAAAGATTATTTTAGAAAATACATCGAAGCACAGTGCCTTGAGGGACTGTGGGCGAAGTAGGCAGCAAGGTGTTGTTTTAAACACCGCAGAAAATCATGCACTCAACGCAGCCATCTTGGTTACCTCAATCAGAATTTCCCCTTGTCACCCAGCATGCATCGATTGCGATATCGCAACATGCACTGTGTCGCCTTGAGTACAAGGCACTCTATGAATAAGGTATTTTCAGAGGTCAGGGTTCATTTTTTATAAATAATCAGCGCGAGTCCATTTAATTTAATTTTCTGTTTTCTGAAAAACTGCAAATAATTGATGTGCAGTAAATCGAAATAAATTTTCATGGCGTACGCTGCATTTGTTTTTCCAGATTTTGCGATGCCGCACTCCTGAAAGAACTGTTTGAAAATTGAACGCGCAACAGTAGTAAAGGCTTGAACTCAGTAGCGTAAGTCTCAAGTGAAACTTTGTATCAACAAATGTTCGTCTTTTGATACTTATTGGCTGTCAGAGACACATATCAATTGTCCAGCCCAATGAAAAGTCTGATTCACGTCCTCTGCTCAATTTGCAACTCGAGCATAACAGTTTATCAAAACAAAACAATTTATTCAGCACGCTGTTTTTTTAGGCAAGGCACACGGTGAAATGACTACTGTGCACCAATAAATCAACACATTTTAGAGACAACTATCTACTCTTCAAAAAGCAATGTAAACTCTGTCAATCCTAAAAAAATAAACAACAGCTTGAATGAGGTGTGAATGAGATCGGTTCGAACCGCAGTTTTTATGGAAATTGTGCGGTCGTCCTGAACCGCACTGTCTATTGTTTAAACATCCAAACCGCAAAACTGGGTTTTGTTCGGGCGGTTTAGGGCGGCTTGGGTTTTCGTAGGTTTGACCCGCATGTTTGAATATGAGATCACCCATTAGACTTTGTATGTCACATGGTCTATACATTATTGTAGCATCTACAATGGAAACCGTCATAACTGTGTGATGTCACTAAACACATCACAACCATTAGATACATGTTGATAACATGTTTACCTTTACTGTCATACAGTCATTGAAGATGTAGCTGTTTATGTACATGTAGGTAATTATCTATCAATGGTGACATCAAAGTTAATCTGCATCAACTTTTCCTATTACTGACTTCTTTAAAGTCACCTGCTTGCTTTCTGTGATATATGTAATTTTGTCGAATGTCTGTCAGATTTTGGGATGGTACCTTCAATTCTTGAATGAATATTTTTATCAGTTTGGATGAAAAATTATATTTTTGACTTCTTCTTGAAAAAAACACTGAACATTTGGTTGACCTCTATTAGATTTGTAACCAGATCGCGGTTGCAATCGCCATTTTTTTTTTAATAAGGACGTGTATATTACTAAACTGAGAAAGATGAATAACTGCTGTACTGTACTCTTCTTTTCCTATAGTATGTTTTTGAACGTGTCATGCGAGCATTTGGTCATAAGAATTATAGGGTACGAGAGGAGGTTTTATTATGTCTAATGCAAACTATTAACACGTAAGTACATTTATGTATTCAAACTACTTTTATAATCTAATGTGCCTTTTATTTACCTGAAAATTGGGATACCATTGGGTAAACCAGCAATCATAGTTCTGATTTGAAGATTTACTGTTATATTAAGGAAGCAGTAAGGTAATTGTGATTAGAGCATTCTCTGCTGGTTACTAAGCATGTAATTATACAAAATATACATTTTCAGAAAACTTTGTATTAATGTTTGCTCAGGAAATTAAGTTATGGAAGTTTTGAAAACCGTTCTTCCTATGTTAATGATTTTTTAGTTATCTTACAAAAAAATAATATTTTACAGTAGTACAGTACAGTATTTTTGTATTCCTTTTTATATATATATATAGTATAACTAGATTATATTCATGACTAACTGACTAACTTGCTTTTCTTCTTTCTTTTATTATTGTTCTTGTAATTGTTTTTTTATTTTATTTTTTGTTTGACAAAAATTTGTTGTTGTCAAACATATGCCTTCTTTTAGATCATACTACGACTGCTATTCTGTGAAAAAGTCACCCAGAAAATGACAAAAGTGAGCTATTCTAACGAGAGATAGTCATTTATTCAAGACTCTTTGTTATGTGAAACATTTAACAGTATGTAAATTGAATGTATGGTGAAAGTTTACTTTTGAAAAATAAACTTCACTGAAATTACATACCAAATGCATCGTGCACAGTACATTTTGACCTAAGATCAATAAAAATGTAAAGTTACATAATCAGATATTTAAATTTGTTTTACGTCTGTAAGGCCAGGCATCTCTCTTTACAAGTTAGCTGCTGACCACCACACAAATCCGACCATAGCCTTCAAAGAGAATAGTACAATGTGGCTGTATTTGTTGCCCACCATAGCCTTCAAAGAGAATAGTACAATGTGGCTGTAATTGTTGCCCACCATAGCTTTCAAAGAGAATAGTACAATGTGGCTGTATTTGTTGCCCACCATAGCCTTCAAAGAGAATAGTACAATGTGGCTGTATTTGTTGCCCACCATAGCTTTCAAAGAGAATAGTACAATGTGGCTGTATTTGTTGCCCACCATAGCTTTCAAAGAGAATAGTACAATGTGGCTGTATTTGTTGCCCACCATAGCCTTCAAAGAGAATAGTACAATGTGGCTGTATTTGTTGCCCACCATATCTAACTGATTGCAAAATGATCTAGATTATGATATAAACAAAACACTTAATTAATAGAAGGTACAATGTTAATATGCATAACCTTTTCTATTCTATAAATTATAACTTGTAAAATTGTTACATTATGTAAATCTCGAAAAAGTGTGTTGCACTGCAAAAAAATCAATACCTAATTTCATCCCCCGCCCTACTGTGGGGACTAAGTAGTTTCAATTAATAGGTTCTGATAAAGTGTTCTACAACTTTATTGATAAAATGTAAGGTGTCATTAGTTCACACAAGAACTATTGTTTTCACTTCCTAAAGGAAACTGTATTTCAAAATAGAATTGATTTATTAATAGAAACATGAGTCATAATATCATGGTGACATATGGTATACAAAATATTATTGTCTGGGTCATTGTGCGGCAACCTGTGTCTAGTCACTTCTATATTTCCAGTAATTATTTTTATTTGACAGAAAATAAATATTACCCCTTCTGTGACCATTAAGTTTTTATGAAATTAATTTAAATTTATGGAGCGATGATTTCGTCATCATTGACTTCCTGTGATAACTAATTTCCAATTTATTTATTTAATTTTTTTGCTATAATGAAATGCAAGCTGAAAATATGTTTCTGCCATAATCATACTTATTATGGTAATATGCATCCGGTATTCACTGGTTGGCATGACAACATCCTTATACGCGTGTATAAATTTTTTTGTTCTTCTTTCTGTTGCCAGCTTTGGTGCTACATCTTTGTCCTTGAATAAAATAGTTCCGTCAATTTGTAAACTTCTTGGTGATCCAAATAGCCAGGTAAGTATGAACCTTGTTTCATTGTAACAGTGATGTATGTTGCTTTTATTAAAACCACAAATCACATGTCCTTATTTTTGATAATTTGATTGAAATAAAAGTAGATTATGTTTGTACATTTTTGTTCCATGTTATGTATTGTAGTACGTACAATTTCACTGTAATAGCAATGCATGTTGGGATATGTTAGCAATATATTAAAGTTTGGTTTTTGTTTTGTTTAATTCTGTTACTTTCTGTCAAAGCTGAATACTGTAAAATAATTATATTTTAGCTGGAATTAATTTTCGCTGAATAATTTTTTTGTGTGTTTTATATGGAGCTTATTTTCACTGGTTTTTAATGAGTTGAATGTAAAACATGGGGAAAAAAGGTATATTCGCTGGATTTTATTTTTACTGAATCATTCCTACAGCGAAAATAAATTCCAAGCGAAAATAAAGTATTTTACAGTATATGTTGAGATCCACTGTGAAGAAGACTTTGGGTTTACTTTATGTGTATAAATGAAGGTGTCAAGTGTTCAAGTACATGTACTGTGTACCCTCTTAGCTAATATGGGATGTCACAGAGATTTTATTATGCTTGGAAAATCATAGATTGATATATGTTACCATAGTTATTGAAATTTTTAATTGGTAAGATCACATTTGATAAACAAAATATAAAAAGTGTAAAAACAAAGTCAATCAGCTAAAATCTCTTCTGTATTTTATTCAAAGTAGGTGATTGTTTGAACCGGCTACTGACTGATTTTGTTTTGAATAACTCTCTCCCCAGCAAGTAGCCAAGCTGACCCAACTTGATTTTTTAGCGTTTCATCTGCCCTGTTCATAAAGGGCACACTTCAAACATTTCATAATACTTCTTGTATACTTTCTAGGTTCGAGACACAGCAATTAATACGCTAGTGGAAATCTACAGACATGTCGGTGAAAAAGTGAGAATTGATTTAGGAAAAAAAGGGATTCCTTCCTCAAGGTTAGTGGTTTGAAATAGTTACTCAGTTAGCCATAATGTTAAAGGAGAACATATTAAAATGAGAAAGTATTGCACTCAGTGAAAATGTAAAATGCTGCTATTTGCATTCCATTAAACTTATATTTATTTATTTGCCATTTTATAATAAATAAAAACAAGAATTTTTCATTACCGGATCTGGCTTCTATTCCAATTCTACTCAGCTAGTTGTCAAATTTATTTTGTGGTGCAGTTACCGACATGTATTCATGCATTCTTTGATAATCACATGTGTACATGTTTTGGTATAAATAGCGCCACCTTTTGTCAGAAAACTTACATTGTGAACAGTGCCCTCTATATGGATCTTAGTAGAAGTTTAATGCAACCCACACACTGGAGTTCGTATCATATTGTTTGCATCTATCTTCCCACTAGGTTGTCCATAATCTATGCGAAATTTGACGACGTGAAGAAATCTGGGAGAATGATAGCTCAAGACACCGGTAAGAACACAAACACTAATTATGATTGCTCCACCGTGTGTGTCTTCAGTCAATGCTATGCAAAACTGGAAACTAATTGTTTTAATATTTTTATCACCCATTTGTTACTGTAAATGCATCAAATCCCATTTACTTCCCCTTTGTGGTGAATATTTAAAGAACCAAGTTAGTTTTCTGACAGATTATATTTTAGCGTAGGTCACCATGTAATCTAACCTTATACATTGCCAAACAATAACACATTCTTTCTACCATAACAATAGGCATATAAGCTGAATAGAATGGTCTTTAGTCGTATTCTCTTGTTTCCTTACTCTGGATAATAATAGTTCCAGATTTGTATTCTGTGTGTAGTTCAATGTTTTGTGTTTCTACTATCTATTTTTACTAGTTGGGTGTCAGCGCTAGCAACACCAAGTGTTAGACTCTGATGTGTATCAAGCTAAATAACATCTGCTGTTTGAATTGTTTTGCTAATATAACTAACAGAAATATTATTAGCTGGGCAGCCAGTCATATACAGAGATTTTGTGTGGAATTTCAGCTATTTGGGTGTATGCGTTTTTTTTATGTTCATATATTTGTTAGTCACACGGCAGATAATCAGGTGAAATTGAGTTATAAATGACTCTGTTGACACTATTCTTGCTTATATTCATACAAATTTAGAGTTTTTCATTTCGGAGTTAGTTTTCTAGTGATTTATGTCTGTATTGTTATTTTTTTGCGAGATATTCGCAATTTATTTTCTTTTTTTTATTGTTATACAGAATAACTTCTAATATTTTATTATTTTTATTATTATCAGCAGAAATAAAATAACAATTGCCATGCTCTAGATTTAGAATTTTTTTTACGATTGTCTTTTTATGCTTAGCTGTGAATATTTGCTGGTTGAAATGACATAGTCAAAGGTCATAGGTCATGAACTATTTAAGTAAATCTTTGTTGCTTATCATAGCATGCTTTGATTGTTGGAAAGAAATGTAAGTTACTTAAAACTTTTTGGAAACAATTGTAGATTAAATCCAGTAGACAATATGTTGCCAGTCATTTTGGTAAATGTCTGACAGCCTTTTTGATGGCTTGAGTTAATATTCCCCCTGATAATATAAACACCATTATATTGTTATTAAAGGGGTTTAATGTCTTTCAGCATTTCTTGATCCTTGCACTCTCGTTTTATTTGAAATTGTTGGCTTTGTTGTGGAGTGGAATACATTACCGTACATTGCATTCAATAGTCAATGTTTACATAAACATTTTTTTTCTGCCCGCAAAATTATACCTGAATAATTCTGACACTTTGAGTGACTTTTGTAAAAACTATGCATTATTTTTATGAATATAAATATTTCAAGATCTAGACCAAATGTTGTTGTTTTTTGTTTTAGGGAACTTTAAAAATGAAAGACTAAACTTCCCATGACACTGGTTGGTTGGGAAACTATTGAATTCATTATTGGATTACTTTTAGATCAGTTATGTAAATTATGGAATTATTTTTAACAACTTTAGAAATTCATTAGACTACCAAATAGTTTTCATCTTAACCATTCCCACAAGCTGTGCACTCTAAAGTATGCTATGTTATCATTTGTGACTCATAAATTATTTTATTATATATTATTGTTTGTATAAACTTAAATTTGATTCTATTGAAGATTATTATATATTTCTAACTTTTAGTTTAACACATCTGCACTAAAATAACATGGCATTCTACTTTTGTTATGGTTAAAATGGTTATAATAAGATCTTGTAGATTTTAGAGTAATTTAACTTTTTATTAAAGACATTGTCTTTTTGTATATGTTGATAATAGGTATATCAATTACAGTAATGCTATCAACCTTAAACATTGTATCTATATCAGGGATGTAAAAAAATAACATACTGTGTTCACTGAGTTTAAATTTCACTGTCATACACTAAATTGAAATCAAATGAATAGGCTAATTTAAACATAATATTTTGTTTCTTTCACAAACCGTGAATTAAATGAAAAACTTGTGTAATAATTAAAACTTTAAATTTAAGCCCATTGAATATTTCTCCATTTACAGTGATGGATTATATTACAATTTTGTTATCTGAATCTTTTGTACTTTAATTTGTATCTATTGTACAAGGCTGTAAATGTCTTCTTGATAACCAAAGTAATATTTTAGATTAGGCAATTTAATTTGTGACAATTTGTTATCAATTGACCCTTCTCAAGGCTTACATGGAGGAACTTTGTATTGTGCCATTGTCTGGTGAAATAATTTCTTACATTTTAAAAATATTTACAATGTCCTGGCACAACGACAAATATGCTAGTTATTATTTCCTGTGATATGCAGTTATGTGATTAATAATTCAGCGACAGCTTAGAATACAACTGAAAACATGGCCAAGAATCATAACAATTTTGTAAAAATAAAACTTTATCCTAAAAAAAAAGATTTCTTGTCAGCATGTGTACCACCCAAAAAGTGTGGGCTGTCTATTTTACTTTATTTTTGAAAAACAATGAGACCAGTAACATTTTTTTAATTTTATTTTGAATTCAAATTTAATTGAAAGATATCCCACTGTCAGCAATTGCTTGATTTGAGAAAACAACACAATCATTTCCTACGTCTTGGCTGTTGTATTTAGTGTGGAAATATACAGTTTTGCTTATGTAAAACAATACTAAAGTTCAGAACAGACACTTAATCAGGCTCCATAGATTAAGTTAGGACCAGATCTATTTAAAGATTTATGATAAATACACCTACTTCCATAGTGCATCAGAGTATTAATTATATGTTTGCTATGGTGTGCATTTATTGGGTTTTTTAGTAAAATATCAATTTGTTTAAATTTTAGCTTACACCATCATTTCTGTGTCACAGTAACCTTTTATATGTTGTATTGTTACATGTAGGTAGCAATATATTAATAAATAACCCTGACTGTTGTCAGTTTGATCTTGGCTTGTGATAATATGCAATGGTTTCTGTTCAGAAAAGTTGACATGCCTGTGACATTAGTCATCATAACATTTAAATTTTAAAAAAAATGTTGTTTAAGTATTTCTAGCAATAATTATAATTTATTTTGTCAATTCAAATGGTATTCCTTCCAGCAGATATGTTTGTGTGTTTATTGCTCAATTTCTGCTCATACATCAAAATGGTGGATACATGTATAATTATAATTATATTTGCAGTGTTTTGTTTTATTTTATTAGTACTGCTATGTAGTGAGAAAAAAAATGAAATTTGATTCCAATTTTCTTCTATTGGTCGATGAGTATATGTACCGGTAGTATTTTTGTGTAATACTAGATATGAACATCATGTTCCGTTATACCATAAATTAATTTTGAAATTCTATCAAAACATATTCAGTTTGGTTTGTTTAAAATTCTGAACCAGCAATTTTTTTTCAACCTCTTGTTGCGCCTATTGTATCTGACTTATCACATTCTTCTCTGTTACTTTGACCCAGTGATCAATTAGATTGAAGTAATTATCAACAAACAAACAAACTGTTTTTTAATTTGTTGGTGCTTTATTTGGTAGGGTTTAGGAGCCAATCAGGTAGCATCTTACTTGGACACAATTTCTTATTTATTCCAGGATTTCTTTTGAATTTATTGTTCACGCTTTCCAATGTGTTAGATTTTGAATATTCTCTTTAACAAAACTACGTATGTGTATCACTGAGCTTAAATTACACACTTGGAGGAAGATTGTACTTGATAATTTTCTGATCAACATATATGATGTAAGTGAAGAAATGCCAAAAGTGGTTGTTTCCATGGTAACAACCATCACTGTCTTTCACCCATTGCATTATAGAGAAGTGTCCCTACTGTTCTATAATTTTAGGAATGAACACAGTAGAGAAATTAACATTCTCAAAGACCGAGCTATGTCACGATCCCCCAAACATTGCCACAATCAATCTCAAACAAGAATAGGCAATGAATTTTTGTTTTTCCCCCACGTTAATCAACTTTCACCCGCGCTAACCAACTTTCCCCCATGCTAACCAACTTTCACCCGCGCTAACCAACTTTCACCCGCGCTAACCAACTTTCACCCACGCTAACCAACTTTCACCCGCGCTAACCAACTTTCACCCGCGCTAACCAACTTTCCCCCACGCTAACCAACTTTCACCAGCGCTAACCAACTTTCACCCGCGCTAACCAACTTTCACCCGCGCTAATGAAAAATCTTGTCTTCTACTGACTTCCTGTTCTGCTCATCTTTGAGAATACATTGTTATGCAGATTAACCCCTACTGGGTTGAGAATATATTGTTATGCAGATTAATCCCTACTGAGTTGAGAATACATTGTTATGCAGATTAACCCCTACTAGGTTGAGAATACATTGTTATGCAGATTAACCCCTACTGGGTTGAGAATACATTGTTATGCAGATTAACCCCTACTGAGTTGAGAATACATTCTTATGCAGATTAACCCCTACTGGGTTGAGAATACATTGTTATGCAGATTAACCCCTACTGAGTTGAGAATACATTGTTATGCAGATTAACCCCTACTGAGTTGAGAATACATTGTTATGCAGATTAACCCCTACTGGGTTGAGAATACATTGTTATGCAGATTAACCCCTACTGAGTTGAGAATACATTGTTATGCAGATTAACCCCTACTGAGTTGAGAATACATTGTTATGCAGATTAACCCCTACTGGGTTGAGAATACATTGTTATGCAGATTAACCCCTACTGGGTTGAGAATACATTGTTATGCATATTAACCCCTACTGGGTTGAGAATACATTGTTATGCAGATTAACCCTTACTGGGTTGAGAATACATTGTTATGCAGATTAACCCCTACTGGGAGTGGTTTGCTCTGGAGAGAGCACTGCTGCATTTTTTCCATAAAATTCTACATTTGGTCATGGGTCGATGAGGTGACTGTTTAAAACTCAATGCTTGTAGTTTTGATTGAAAAATTAGGATTGCTATGGCAACTAGTTTTGCCG